CCACCTGTATGCTCTACTGTTCTTCTACCCAGCAGGCTCTGATGCAAGTTCCTTCCATGTGTATCTCGACCATCTTCCCAGACTGGGCCCACATTGTATTTCTCTCTGAGCCTTGTTGGGAGCCTACCAGGGTATTCTGCACACATCAGGTGTATGATAACAAACTGTTTATTCAAGCAATAACCTTGAACGACTGATTTGTAACTGGAAAAGTCTGGAAACGGCCTGCAGGACTAGAGGAGAAACCCGTTTTTAAAGCCTTAATGTCACAGATTCTCACTAAATTATTTCACTGACTGAATCTTGTTCTGTTCCATCAATAGCCATGCACGGCTGATGTTATTTATCTCTTGTATGGCTGCAGGTAGGGAGGTTCAAAAGAGTAAAGTGACTCACTCAAGGTCACAGCCCTCCACCCCCAGCAGTGCAATTTCATTTCCTAAGCAACAAGAGTGTGACCATGAATCCATGTGCTGAGCACAGAAGCATGCACAACAAAAGGTTAACCAGAAACTGTGTGGTTCCCTCAGACCCAAAGGCTGCAAAAACATCTCCCACCACACACGTCCAAGGTCAGGCAGCTGCAGCATTCCAGCGTTCAGGAAATACACTTCAAGAATGCAATCAGTCTAAAAGGATTTCTTCAGTTCATCACCCTACCTTGTACTTTTTTTTTTTTTTAATGGCGCCAACTAAGTGAAAGTTCAAAGTGGGGAAATCTAATTGAGTGCCCTAGGTCATGTTCATGGGCAGTGGTTCAGAAAGAAGCTGAAGCCTGGCTTCCTAAGAGGTGTTGCCCAGCTCTGAAAATCTGCAGGTAGATAAAGCACCTGAGCAATGACAATCAGGAAGGGAAAAGAGTATGGAGGATGAGAGGTCAAAGGGGATAAGAAGCCACCATGAGGCTGGCCTTGTTATTTTCTGAATAGAGTTCTCTTTAATTCTTTTACACTGCAAACTTCAAACTGTCTTTTGCCCTTCTTCTATTATAAAACTCTAAATATATGCCTTGTGTTTTACAAATATGTTTATCCTGTACATGATCAATTCTTCAGCAATATGAACCAATCACTTTAGACATGTGCTTTCCTCAGACCTAGATCAATAACAATGTGCTATGATGTAGTTTGGTCCATTTGCTTCCATCCAAATGGTCTCCACATCATAAAACTTTTGCCAAGACTAACTGCTACTCAACTGTACTGGATGAAGTAATGCTGTATTATAAAGCTGGGCAATTTTCTCATTCATCAACCAAAGCATTTGATAAAATTCTCAAGAGTGAGGCAGCAATTCCTCTGCCTCCCAGGGGAGGTATAACTGCAGGCTGCCCTCTTGAGAATGGGGTTCTCAGCCTCTTCTAACCTCATTGACTACTGACTTGGCTGGAAGAACTCAGCTCCCATCTATCCCAGTCTAAACTATATTCTTTTCCCCATTATCTAAGGTTCCCAAGTGGCCTGGAAGAGCTGTACAAAACTATAAGAACCACTACCAATGACAAGCCACAAAATGGCCCCACACTCTCCAGTTGGGCTGACCCATCAGATTAAGGGTGAGCTGATCACCAAGCCAACCCACTGACCAATCGAGCCCACAGAGATTCCAATAAAGTGTTCTGTGGTATGTGACTATGACTCCAGAGGAGGTATGCCCTGGGTGATTTCTACCCCTTTCTCAATCTTTCTGGGGTGACTATATGTTCTATAGCTCCAAAATCCTTGGAGTTATGTCTGGTCCCAACACCTCACACACAGTACACCCTTGCCCAAGAAGAGATGGACAGATTCTGGTGGGTGGCTTCCCAGAGTCTGAGAATACTCTTTGAAGGAAAAGTGGCCACTGCTCAGCAGTCCAAACCCAATGGGGGGAGCCTCCAGCCCTTCCTTCCTCTCTGTTCACTTTGCCTAAAACAAGTCCTTATCCACTCATTTCAGACAAGTGGCAAAGGAGTCTTTTCAGAGACCAACACTCCTCACTCTATGCCTTAAAGGGCTACTCCTCCAGCCTTCTCTACCTACAAAGTTAAACTGGATTCCAATTCTTCTCGCCTTTCACGATCTGGTGCTTTTGTCAGAGGGTAGCTAATCCAAACTTTATGTAAATTTATTTGGAGTACAGATACCTTCCTCACATACCTTGTTCATTGCTTTGACATTATACAGTTATAGGAAATCTTCCAAAAGTTTACGCTATGTCTGAAAACTCCTTCAAATATAAATAAAATAAAGAAGCATAAACAGAAAACAATTAATCCTTGAGCCTGGGGTCTTTGAAATCCCAAAAAATGCAGCTGGGAGAGCCTTCAAGATAAGACAGAGTGGAAACACCATAGGCCCATGCCTCTAAATACCATCAAAAGAGGGGGCAGAACTGAATGCATAATTTATTCCTCATAAACAAGTAATGATATATCTAATAATGAGTCATTAAATAGATACCAAACATCTCTGGGCACAAACAGCATGGATTTCATGCAAAACAGAGCAGAACCTGTGTTCCTCCAGCCCCTGCAATGGACACTACCATTTAGAGACATTAAATACAGAACTTACAAGCAATTAAAATGATACTCAACATCCAGAATACAGTTTTGGAGAGCACAGTCACATCCATTTTTTATATACCATTCACAGCTGCTTTCACACTACAAGGGGAGTGTTGAGAAGTTGTGACAGAGGCTATACGGCCTGCAAAGTCTAAAATATTTTCTCTCTGGTCCTTTACAGAAAAAAAAAAAATTGCCAACTCCTAATTTATACAATTATTTAGATACAGGGAGGTGCCCCATCCACAGCCACCAAAAATAATCTACTTGATAGCCTGCCCTTTTCATACCTTGTAGCTCAGCCTTCTCAGACAGATAAACAGACAAAGACACACTCACCACACAAAACTCCATGACAGTGGTTTCTAACAGGTCAAGAGGGACTGACACGTTACCACCCTGAGAACCACAACCACAGATGGAGAGAGGTACAGACTTGGTAAGCTTATGCTCTGTTGCTTTCTTTTCTTTGCCCTCCAAGACCACTTTGCCACCAAAAGGGCCATCCCAAGTCACCCTATTGTCTCTTTCCTCCTGCCTTCAGCCTTTTGACTACTTGGAAAGAAGTGCCCAATGTCCAGCTCACATGGAAGGATGGGATGAACAAGGCAGACTAAACAACAGCAGTGTCTGCTCAAGCTGGAACTTAAAATCTAAAAAATCTAAGAGGTCCACCAGCAACTGGCACAGGGTGAACTCAGACTCTTGGCTGTGTTCCCTTATGTAAAGCACAGCGCCCTCACATGGTGTCAAAGGGAAGGGCAGTCTTCCTGAAAGGGCTCAAATGCCATCTGTGAGGAGGCTCAGCATTTACTCTGCAAGGACTTTAAATCAATGTTATCCAGATTTTCAGCCTCAGCTCCTTCACAGATAGCTCCTCGTTGGAAACTTTACACCAAGAAGTATAAACTCTGACCTCTACAGAAACTCACTAAACCGCAGCAAATGGGATTCAGATGTTTCCATGTACAGTACAGTGATGTGACCTAGACTTGAAACACTTTGGCAAAAACAGGAAAAATGATGTGGGCCTTTGAGTCCCTCCCAGAACATGATACAGCCTTGACCTGAGCCCTATGGTGATCTGAGCCTTTCTCACTCCTAGTTAAGCCTCCTCACCCACAGCCCACATTCTCTGACCCTGTTCCACATTAACTACCAAGCCCCCTTCATTCTATATCCTTTTCCTTGTTTTACCAAAGCAGCCCATTTCTCCCAGTCAAGCAAAAATGGATCACACCTTAAAATCAGAATTCAGAAAATGCCTGAAAGAAGAACTAGGCTGATCCCAGGAATTACATGCTCCAAAAGTGCTGAGAATAAAGCAGAAGCCTCACATAAAAACTTGGACCCCAAGGCTTTCTGGCTTTACTGCAGATTCCTGATGACTTGCTACAGACTACATGGGAAGGGCCAGAGAATTTCAGATGGTGGTATAAGATAAAAGGAGATAGGGGGAGCAGTGTCTTGTGGGCCTGGTAAGGACAGACACAAAATAATATCAGAAATTGCCTCCCCAGAGGATAGTTGTGTCAAAAGACAGAGAAACAACCCATGCACTTCATTCTCTGAGTTGATACCAAGCTTTGTAGGGGGCAGCCCATCTGCCAACCATGTGCACTCCTTGGGGCATCACTGAGAAGCTTAGAAGAGTTTGGCTGGGCACCAGTGTAGTCAAATGATTAAGTATGAGCACAGGCAGAGCAAAAGTACACAAGAATTCTCCCAGCCCATTGAGTACTTGTCACAGGTGCCTCAAATAAATATAATAGGGCAGGATATTCGGGAAAGGAGGACTTCGAGGAGCAGAGACATGTTCTTAGCATCAATATAAGAACACAGTGATCCTTGTTGGAGCAGGATACCAGATAAATGCCTGTTAATGGTACAGAAAACAAGGATACTGATAATTCTTCCTCTCCTGGTTCTGACCTTTCAACAAGAGTGGGGTTACCATGATTGCCTGGGATCCCCTCCAAACTTCCTTTTCCTAGTATTAAAGGAAATTCAAAAGCACAAAAGGACTATCTACTCCCCTACACACCAACCCAGAATAAATGGGATACAGACATAAAAGTGTTCTCGTGGCAGGCATACATACACACCTGTGAAAATGCAGTGTTCTCTACACCTGAGCAAAATGTGCCTCACAGTCAGGGGTCTGACAGTTTCATGTGCACTCTCCTGGGGGATCCGCAGCTCATTCCTATGCGACCCCACCTCCGCCATATTCTGATAATTGAATTCTTCCCCTCCCATCCCCTTCCCTTACAAATCATCAGGAAGGTCTGGAGGGATGGGGGGTAGGGTGGGAAAGGAAATAGAAGGTTCTCTCCAGTTCCTCTGAAGGCTGGATTTTCCCGCCAAGGAGTCCCACCCCAGCCCTCCACGAAGACCACCCGGGCGTCGCAACAAACCGGCCAGGCAGACCCGGAGGGGACGCGGGCAGTACCAGGCCGCCGGCGGCGCCACAAGCGCTGAGCGAGACCAGGGAGCCTGGGTGGCCGAGTACGCGGCCAGAGTAGAAGCACAGTTCCGCTGGGCGTCCGCTCTGCCGGTCTGCACCCGCCTCCTCCACCTCGAAGCCGCTGGACAGAAAGCGCAGGTCGCGACGCAACTGCAGGTACAGGTCGCGCCCGAAGGCCGGCAGGTGTAGCAACAGGGCGCGTTCTCCTGGCCGGGCGCGCGGGGCGGCTGGGGGTGCGCGAGGACGCCGCCGCCGTCGGGGCCCCGGAGCTCCTGGCAGTGGCGGCAGGTGCACGTCGCTGGGGCGCACCCGCCACGGGAGCACCACCTCCACGTCGGCCGCCGCGTCGCCTACAGCTGCCGGGAAAGAAAAGACGCGTCAGCGCGGTGGGGCCAGCCTGGCCGCCAGCCCTCCAGCCGGCCGGCCGCCGCGCGCCGGGTCCAGCTCGGGGCTCGCCGCGCCACCTAGGGCGCAGCACCGCCGGGATCCGGCACTTCCTTCCCTCAGCTTGTCCTGGCACCTCCTAGCCGGCCAGCCCCCCGTCCGGCCCCCGCCAGCCGAGGAAGGTCTCCCGCGCGGACGCCCAGCACCTCCGGAGACGGCGCCGCGGTATGGGCGTGCAGAGAACCGGCGCCGGTGCGCCCTGCCAGGAGCCGCCAGGAGCTGCCCGGAGCCCGGTCCTCCGCGGCGGCCCGTGCCTCCTTCGCCCGGGACTCTGTCAGCGGTCCACCCGCTGCACTCGGGACGCGCGGATGCCTCCGAAGGGCAGAGAGAAGGTGGTGGAGAGGAGGGGAGATGAAAGGGGGCGCTACCTGTGCCCGGATCCAGACCCCAAAACAGCAGCAGCAGCAAGGGTAGGACCAGGGGAGGCAGCAGGGCGCCGTCACACATGGTACTTGGGACGAGCAGCCCCCGGGACCGTGGCGGCAGAGCAGGAGCGCGCGAGGCAGCAGCGCCAGCCGGAGTGAAGCTCTGCAGCCTTTGGAAAAAGTAATTAGCGCTGCGGACAAACCCAACGTGGTAAATCCAAAGCCCCGCCTTTCCCTCAAAACCCAGGAGGTGATTGGCCATTTACTTCACTCTGCCCCGCCTCCTCTCCCTCTATTGGTTAGAATGGGTCGAAACCAAAGTGCGTAGTTAGGTTGTAAGCACTTCTTACACGTGGTTTCTGGGCAATAGCCCGGACGCGACACCAGGTGGCAGGCACGAGCCAACCCGGACGGTGTGATCCTACAGGAGCTGGGAGAATACTGGCCTAGTCTTCAGAATTTGTCCTCATTTTGCAACTATCTGAGCCTGCTCCTCAGCTTCCCAGGAAGATTTGCCAGAAATCGTCCCGGCCAACCGGTTCCATCTACAAAAACATACTCTCTCTGCATCTAAAATAAAACCAATTTTGATTGTTTGCTACTGGAAAGGCTCCCAGACACACCTTAGTTCGCACCTGATAGCAGTATCATTGGTGTTTATCCAAACCTTTCACACCTCCTGCAGTCTTTATCTTCACAGAAGCCAGGGCACACCCACTCTCAGAATGGGAAACTAAGGAATAGAGTACTTAAGGAGCTCCACTTAAGTTTCAGGGAGTTTCTGTTAGGACAAAGGCTAGAATTCCTGATCTGACTTCCTGCCAGGTGTTGTTCATTGTTAGCAGCCAGAACCCTTCAAAAGAAGCAGGACAACGTATTAGCCAAGTTTTACAGGTAAGGAAACTGAAGAACAAAGTAGCAAAGACTAGACTTGAACACAAGTCTTTCAGCAACAGAAGAATTATGTTCCCATCAGAATATAACAGGTCTGCAGGTGATTGCTTGAGCATCTTGAAGAATGTCTCATAGATAAAGCAAAGCAAGATTAATGGAAAGAAATTATACCAGTCAAGGTTTCCCCTCCTTTTCCTGTTCTATTCTTCCCTGTTTTCTCAAAAAACGAAAGTGACAGTCCCTACCAAACTCTGCTTAAGGTCTCAGAGTCTACATTTCATCACCATGTTATATATCATCAGAAAGTCAGGTGAACACTGTCCAGCTTCCCAGGTTTAATGAATTCCAAGAGTGGACTGTGGCCCTCCACAGAGGCTTTTCACAGAGGTGTTAGAGGTCTACCCACTGCTCCAGTGACCGCCACCTCTGCTTGGCAGCTGCAGTTCCTTGGAACATGGGCCCAGGTCCTACTATGGGCCAGATTTTGGAACTTTGTTTCTCTCACTTGACTGTGTTCTGGTCAGTAGCCTCAGCCATCTGAAAGTTCAGCAGCATTTTCTGGCAACACAAGAAGTCATGGTGTAGCTTTGGCAAAAAGAGCCACTTCAAAGATCTGCAATTGAAAGCCATGGAGTATGGGCCACATCACTTCACAAGACTATTACTTCTGCCTTTGGAGTCAGCCTGAAGTAGTCATTGTCAAGTCATTGTCAGTTTTCTATCAGATGATTCTCAAGTGCTAAAGCAAACCCACAGGGATATGATAATTAAAACAAATGCAAAACAACATTTCATCCCCAGACTGACCAAAACTAAGGTGCTTGGATATATCAAGTAATGGAGAGGACAATCTCCTGCCCTCAGGTGGAAGTATAAATCGACAGACACTTTAACAAACAATTGGGCAAACTAGTAAAACTAAAAATGCTCACACACTACAACTGTATTAATTATTCTAGTTAATCACCCCAGAGAAACATTGGCACATGTACAAAGCGTGATCACCATAGCCCCTCAAAGAATAAAAACCTGAGCTGGGGATATAGTGCAGTGGTAAAGTGCTTGCCCAGCATGCCCCAGGTCCTGGGTTCAATCTCTAGTACCATCAAAAAAAAGAAAGAAATTGCAAAAGCCTGAATGTCTATCAGTAGATAAATGGCCACTAGAAAACTATGCGTCAATTAAAAGAAATGTAAAAACCTCTTACGTGTAACAACATGGACAGATCTTCAAAATCAGTTATCAATTTTTTTAAAAAAGTGAAGTTGCAGAATGATGCAAAGTGGTCAAGTGTCCTCCAGATTCACCAGCCAGAAGTCAGGGTTGATTCCACCTATATAACCTGAGGTGCAGCTGCTCCCCAATGCTGCATAAAGTGAAGGCTATATAACATGGCCCAAGGCAAAACTTAGACATGATTTGCCGTATGCTTCTGCAAATCATGGAGCCTAACAGCAATCTCTGCTGGAGTTCATGATGACTTACTAGCAGAGAATATGATTTATTTTTCAAAATTTTAAGTTGTCTTCAAATGCCTGGACAAAAGAGAAAGTCAGCCCTGCAAAGCACATAACACTGAATACAACTACTGTTTTGAAGACTAGCATTGCCAAAATGCACTGAAGTCCTTCAGCACCCATATACTGTATGGTTTTAGGCAATTCAACTTCCTGATGAACTCAAGATAAGTTAGTTGGGAAATATCAGAAAAGCATTTGATAAAGTAATAATTTGAGTTTTTGAAAAGTTGATCTTATCCTTGCAGAAAGTCTACTTCCTGCAAGGGACACAGACACTTCCTGATGATGGTTATCACACCATCCCCAGAGAAGAGCCCAGTCATCCTATGTTGTGGGACATATCATATATGTCTGACATATCTCAAAGTGGTCTCAATTAAAATGGGCTTTATAAATCCACTATGGGAATCCAGCACCTCTGTGGTAGCAATAAGTGAAACTTCTAGTGGCCAGGGGTTTATATTTAACCTAGTAGCTTAACTTATAAAAAGCATTTATCCTCAAAGGTCAAGGAAAAAGCAATAGTAACTGCATTGATTAATTCATTCGTGCTTTAGTTTCTTCAATACCTTTATTAGTGCCTATTTTTTATGTGCCATGAACTGAGATACCAAATGAGGAGTCAATAGCACGTGAATTGCACCCTTTTTTCCCCGCAGTCTACTACAGAAGCTTCTCTTATAAATTAAACACTCTTTCAGGTGCTGGGGATTGAGAGATGCAGAAATAACCACTGCTCTCTGCTTTATCTGGTGAGGAAAGACATGAGTAAGGAAATAATTATATGGGCATGTAAAATTATACATCTGCTGTGTAAAACAGTATAGCTGTCCTGAAAAAAACAATTAAACTTAAGAGTCCATCAATTCCACTTTTTTTTTTTTTTTTTTTTTTTTTTGTACCAGGGGTTGAACTCAGTGTGCTTAACCACTGAGCCACATCCCAGAGATTTTTATTTTATTTATTTATTTATAGACAGGGTCTTGCTAAGTTGCTTAGGGCCTTGCTTTAAGTTGCTAAGGCTGGCTTTGAACATGTGATCCTCTTGCCTCAGTCTCCTGCGTCACTGGAAATACAGGCATGCACCACCACACCAGGCTTCACTTACTATGTATCTAAAATAATTAAAAACAGAGACTCAAACAGATATTTGCACACTCATGTTTAGAGCAGCTTTATTCACAGCTGCAAAAAGGTGGAAGCAACCCAATTGTTCATCAGTGGATGAGGGGATAAACAAAATGGGGCACACACATACAGTAGGACATGATTCAGCCTTTAAAAAGAAGGAAATTCTGACACACACTACAACATAGAGCCCTGAGAACATCATGCTAAGTGAATACACCAGTCACAAAAAAACATACTGTATGATTCCCCTTATAGAAGTAACCCAGAATAGTCAAATTTATAAATACATAAGTAGAACTTTGGTTTCCAGAGGCTGGTATAGGGGGAAAATTGTGTTTAGTGCATATAGAGTTTAAGTTTGGAGTGATGACAAAGTTCTGGAGATGGATATTGGTGATGGTTGCACACTAATGTGATGTACTTAACTGCCACTAAACTTAAAATTTTTTAAATGGCAAATTTTATGTTGTGTAGCTTTTATTTCAGTGTTTTTTAAGCCTTTATTGTTGCTGTGATCTCACTTCATTTTACGCACAAAATGCCTTGTCCTAATTTTGTGGAATGGTGGGGCTTAATATCATTTCACAGAAGAAGGAGAAAGATTTCAGAAGAGATCACAAACAACACAGCAAGCAACCAAAGTCCCTGAGGATAGCAATGGCATTGTGAAGCTTGAGGATGCTGAGGAAAGGATAACTCAACTTCCAGGTCACAGGTTGCAGGTCCAAGCAACATGCCATGCTTCCAACTGACAGAGCTCTAAACTTTCCAGCTTGCCCACCTGCCTCCTGTGAACAGCTCTAATTTCATTGATCTTTTCCAATCATGTTTTTTAGAACTGGTCATGTTTTCAATAAATCATGTTTTCAAGAAGGCTGATTATCTTGACTCACTTGGGCAAGGCACACACAGCTGTCCTGTTTGGATGAAGGCAGCCATCATTCTGGGCATTCATGCTGTTGAGAGCAGACTGCCCCTAAAGCTGCACAGATTGGGCTCAGTGCAGCCATGTTCAAAGCCCGCACTCAGAGCCCAAAGTCAGACTGGGCAGAGGACAAAGAGGACTGAGGGCACTTAGAATAAACTTGACCTTCTTAAATTCCCCACTTAGGGCTTACTTTAGCTGGTGATTGGTATAATCAGGTACCAAGACGTGTGTGTAAACTTGCTCTGTTCATAGGTGGAAGACGTCCTGTAACTCTAAAGATTACTCAATGCAGAAGAAAGATTGATGATCCAGAGAGAGAATTCCACCATGACAGGCTCCTATTATCCTTGGGGGATATGCTCCAAGAGTCCCAGTGAATGTCTGAAACTGTGGCTAGCACCAAACCCTATACATTTTTTTTCCATATACATATAAAGGAAAAGAGGATATATATCAGATATGTGTGTATGTGCTATGCTAAAGTTCAGTTTATAAATTAGGCACAGTAAGAGAGACCTAACAATAACTAATAATAGAATAATTATAACAACAAAGTGTAGTAAAAGTTATGTGAATGTGCTTTCTTGCTCACTCTCTCTTCCAAATCTC